ATAAAATAAACTATGCAAATCATACCATAAAATTACCTAATAAATATCAATAAAAGTTTTCAATCTTTCCAAATGTGGATTTTTCCAAATCTTACTACAAATAAATAACAAAAACTATATATATGACCTTAAAATATATAAAATCCGAAAATCTAATCTATTGCCTAAAAATCAGGATTTAGGGCAAAAATAAGTTATTAATAGTTTGAGAAAATCTTGGAAGTTCAAACTTAATCGGCAAGATAATTAATTCAAACTGATTTAATTAGTTTGAATTAATTGAATTAATTTAGGAAAAACATATTATTAGATTTTTTATTTTCAAAATTCTTTAAGAGCATTGTTTAAAATTAAATAATGATTTGAAATTTAACGAAAGTCATATTCTATGTTCTATTAATATGATTTTAATACTAAAATTGATTTCTTAATATATCTTTAAACCAATATATTGATGATAGGAAAAAAAAAAGAAATATAAATATGTTGTCATTAATTTCAAAGATACAAAATATTTAAACAAGAATATTTAAACATGAGATTTGACTTAAAATTTGAAATAAGAATAAATAATCAATTAAGATATTAAATCATTTTCTAAAATTCATAATAGGTAAACCTAATTTTTCTCATTAACTTCATCTCTCCCTATAAATATATAAAATTAGAGAAGTCATAACTAATTAAATTTTGTTCTCCGTTTATAAATTTGATTTTTGGATACATTTCTTTTATTTGTGTGATGATAATTACAAATAGAACATTGTACTCTCATTTCCGTTATGTTTCTACAACTTATAAATCAACTACATAGGTTTGTCGAGCCATGACTTAGCTTCTACTGAGTTGGGTCAAAAGACAGTCACACTCAGTTTATGAATATGATCCAACAATATCAGAGGAGAATATAAGCAAATAGATTTTTTATAAGCTCTTGATTCCACTTTTGTAATGGGTGAGTTATATAGAAAAGAAACCAAATAATTTAGTTGAGTTATTACATTACTTGATGCTAAATTGCTAATGAACTTTGTTCTTTCCTACAAGCTGCTCATATTTTATACTTTTGACATACGCAAACGAAATACTAAAAACGTGATAAAAATAGTTCATATGTCTAAGTTTGAACTTATTAATAGATAATCCAAACAGAAAAATCATGTTACTACAGCTTGAAAAGAGATAATTAAACCAAATAGAATAATAGTTGGATTAGTAATTGATGTTTTTATAATTTTCTGTGTTTGAGTCTTTACAACCATGAAGCTTTTTTTTTTTTTTTTTTTTTGACAGCCCATGAAGCTTTACAACCATGAAGCTTTTTTCAACTAGAGAAAACAAAACATTTTTTATAAACCGCGGGTGAATAAGGTTTTTATGTAGTGTTCTATAAGTATGAATTAGAAAATTTCTTTCGTGAGTTTGTCAAATATAACCCGCACCAGCGTTTTAAACAATTAGAGAATGTTTAACAAAAAATAGTTGGATAGATTCTATTTATTTGTAAAAATTAAATCTCGAAAGGAAAAGTAAGGAAAATACGGGTATTTCATCTAAATCTCTTACCCATTCTCTTCTCTGCTGAACTAAATTAAACATTCTCATATTGGTAATTATTTTAAAGGAAACAGTTATGTAACGAAAAGTTTTAAGATAGGAAACGAGACGGGACGGGACGACACTACTTTCTCTCATTGTCTTATCTATATTGAATTAAATTTTATTAGAAAATATTTTTAAAATATGAAATCCTGCACGTACGTGCAAGTCAGGATCTAGTTTTAGTTAATTGGGCCTAAATTATTCTTAAGGTTTCTAATAACCTAGATATCTTCGACTATTGAGTATAGAACTATTCCATATTTTAAATAAAATTAGCATTTTAATGTACATCTTTCATACTAATTTTAAAAATCTTATTTATAGAAAATATCTTAAATATAGAAAATTGCAGGATTATTAAGAAAAAAGAGAGGATAATAGGATATATTTTCTCTGTTTCACAAAGAATGTCATTCTACACTTTTTACACATATTAAAAAAACCTATTAAATTTTTTACTATATCCCTTATGAAGATACTAAACAAATTTCTTTCTCTCTTATTTAATAATTAAAGAATTAAAGTTAAAACTGAAATTTTTATTCAAAATTTTGTATTAGAAATACAAAACGATACTCTTTGTGAAAGAAAAATAAAATTTTAAAAGACATTCTTTGTGTAACTGAGAAAATAAGATATAAGTGCACAATTTAAGGTTTGGTTATACCACTTGACGATAATTTTTTTTTAAAAAAATTTGCTTTCGACCAAGTATTTGCGTCAATATTCTTTTACCAAAAAAAAAAAAAAAAAAAAAAAAAAAAAAAAAAAAAAGTATTTGCGTCAAGAATTAATTTTTTAAATATGAAAGCACTAATTTTTTTTAATAAAATATGAATTAGCTATAAAAAATCGCACATTCATACCAAAAAAATATATTCACATGCTTCTCAAATATACGTGCATGCATTTCACGTACGAATATGTACATGATCGAACGTCATACATATACGTATAATATGTATATATATATAATATAATACATTTAAGTGTATATAAATACGTACGTAGACAATGTGGCCATGCATGTGGCTTAAAGGTTTAAAACCATGATATAATTCTGCAAGTATTTCGTCTTTATCGAAAGTTGAGAGACCCCTCTCTCTCTCTCTTTACAGTGAAAAATTTGTTAAATCAGTCCTCCATAATGATTTTTTAGGAGTTACTTGCAATACTTAAAATTTCATTTTGATATTTACATTTTTTTTTTTCTTTTTGCTAAGATCCCATGCACCGCTGACCGCCCATCGACTCTAGAGACACACGCGCGCATGTACGAGTATATATGTGTATATGCACATTACTTACGAATACTTATATCGTATTCCACTAATGTTTAACATTTTACGCATATGAAGTTATGAACTAGTAGTAATTAAGTTAATCTAAGAGTTCATCAATCATACATTCATATATAGATGTTGTCATATATTTCAGTTCATATACTCTGTTATGTTATAGGAATTATAAAGATAAAGATGATCGTTTGTTTATATTTCGGATTTGTCATTTGTGGATAGGTACAAACTTTTGTCGGTAGAGAATTTTCTTTGGTTTGATGAAATAGGATGGTACATAAAGATTGAAATATATTTTTAGTTTTTATATTCTTATATTTTGAACAACTAAAGAGGAAGAATAATGGTCAAAGTCATGTTGGAGAAGACTGCCTCAGATTTGGTGAGAATGTGTCAGACATCAAAGCAAAGGCTCGACTATAAACTCTATTCTTTTAAATATTAACCTATGGTTAAATTACTTAGTTACAAGTTACATCTAGCTACTTACTTCTACTAATATAACTATTTTTACCATTAATTCTATATCATATTGGAATCCAACGTCATCTTTAAATGGTTCAAACTTTTTTTTTGTGTGATATAACATTAATTGTTCTTATCCGGCATATAAATGGTCAAAACTTTAACAAATTAGTTTAGGGTTTGAATGATAATTATAACGGATTAGACCGACTATTCGGTTTAATGTTTTATTTACCAGTCGGATAACAATTTATGTTATATCATTTTTTTAATCTATATGTTCTAGATAAAAAACATTTTTGCTGCCATGTCCTCACTACCATAGTTAATGATTGGTAAATAAAAAACAGTTTTGTTGAAATAAAAATTATTCATTATGTTTATACAAAATTAATTCTTAATATTATACACTTATTTTTTATAGACAACCATAATTAACTAAATTTAAGAAAAATTGATTTCGCTGGTCTCTCGTGGAGATTTTAGTTTTATCTAATATGATGATTGTTAACATCAATTTTCACAGAAATTTGGGTTGTATTTTCATATAGATAGGGCTGCGTCAGAATTCGATTAATCTAGTCTTATACTATATAATTATAACATGAAACTATAATGATATCACGGTTTTATTTGCATTCGTTGTTCGTGTTATATGTATCCCAGTGCCACAATAATTTGGATATCTTTGGAATCAAAGTATTTATGAAAATCTGTCTTAAACTCTGACTGTTTTTTAATAGAAAAAGATTGTAATCTATGACATTGGATTATATTCATTATTCCTTATTAATGATAATCGAACTGAAAATTAATTAAAAACTATATAGTGTGAGGTCGTACTCATTTGATATGCAGTGGGCGTGACCCGAAGCTTGAATGGTGTGTTTTTGGAGTAGGACCAAACAATTACATAATTAATATTTAAAATATCTCTTTTTGTTTTATTTAATTTTGGCTGTCACATTATTGTCTGATTATAATCATATACGACAATATCATTATTAGTTGCAGACTCTCGCAGGCATATATTCATAAGAAAAAAATGTATATTATATATAGCAAGTAATTTTCCAAAAAAGAGCAAGAAATTTTATTAAAACTGCAATAAATATAATATCTATTTTAATAATACAAAAACAAACCCTTATGAGTCATAAGTCATAACAATTAACAAGCTGAAAACAAAAACAAAAAAAAAAAACAATGTAACAAGCTCAGTTAATGGGCCAGTGAGCAATTGTAATTTCTGGGTTTATGTCATCACAAAGCCCAAAATCAAGTTCAGTTTACATATATGACATTAACTACATGAACTTGTTTTGGATTTCATATGAATGATGACTGACTACATTGTGGCTTAAAATTTCTATCAGAAAACTGAAAATTTAGAAATGTTAATTTAAGATATTGATTTTACGTCCGCCATATATAATTTCATTTTGTCTACGATATTTTTGTCAAAATCTTGCAATATATTTAAACGAGGTCGGTTTGAATCTGCATAATAGAGGATCTTCCAAACTACAAAACCGACTCTGGTTCTGGTTCTCTAGAGAGACCGCACCGGATGTTTTTTTCAGGAAACCATATAAGAAACAAACATTAATTTAAGGTTTTGAGACAAACTTTATTGCATACTTAAATATTTTCTTAAGAAAACATAACAAGTGATCAAACTATATTGATTGCTCGATGATGGATCAAACCGCGGTGACTGCGATTTTCATAGCGTTTTCACAATGGCCTGGAAAATTGCAGATGAAGAAGTTTTGTCCTTTAGACAAAGTTATACGATCGTTGCCTGAAGTGTAAGTTTTCGCCCCTGCCGGTGTTTGGCAGTTGTTGTAACTTCCACTATCTACCTTCACTACGTTGTGCATCCTCGGATTATAGTTAAACACTGAAACAAATTTTGAAAATTATAAAATGTTAAGTTAATTACTCGACCGCTCTTCCATATACCGACACTAAAACACGATTTCGTATGTGCATGGCATATTGACCAAAAACTTTACTTGTGTAAAAGGGTGTGTGATATATGAGAATAACACAACACGTCAACACCTCTTAATAATAAGTACTTAACGGCACGACAATAGTATTCATTTAATCATATTAACACTTGAATAAATCTGACTATTCACTAAATACATAAGTCTACATATAACGTTGGTTGAGATATTTCTTCATGCGAAAACAATTTTGATTCATCACTATTTTTCATATTTTTTATTAATTGTAAACGCACATGAAATTTCTCTTTACATTATATTCTGTAGAATATTATATGGTACAACATAAATCGCATGTAATAGTATACGGTATATATACACATTTTTTTGGTAAAATATACAGTAAACACTAAATTAAATCAGCGATTAAAAATAATCAAAACTAGAAAAATGGAAGATGTATACATACATATCTATCAATAATATAGTAAAGATATCACAGGCTCAATCATAGTAAAAGATAGACACTAAGAATATTGACCCTAATTATATATGCTAAATATTTCTTTATCATATTTGTAACCTTAAAATATACGAAAAGTTTGATTTGTCGTGAACTTTATACAAAAACACACCTTGCCCATACTAAGAACCAGCCATGATATCTAATAATCCCTAGTGGATATGAAGATTAGAAAACTTAATTGCTTGTGGTATATGTGTAACAAGAAAATATACTATTGTTGAAGCTTGAATTAAAGTTAAAGGATGTGAAGTATACCAAGAACGTCGCCGGCTCTAAAGTGTTTGCCTTTAGGCCAACCCACAGCGTTATAGGTCCAGACACCAGAGTCTCCGACCGTGTAAGTTGCAGCTTGAACGTAGTCAGCTTGAAGCAACAACACTGACACAACCATAAGAGTCACTATGGCTCGAGCCGACCATGATGCACTGCCTCTTCCCTTGGCCATCTCTCTTTGGTGAAAGTTTAGAGAAAGAGAGAGAGACTTTAGAGAGTGAATGAGGATGAATTAAAGAGAAAATGTACAAAGGGTTTATAAAGAATAAGAAACTAAAGGCATTCAATGTTTTTATTTTTATTAAATTGGGTGTCTCAACAACCCACGATATATGTTCATTTATTATTTTTGGCCACATTGTCTGTGTAAAATTGATTATAGACTTAACTTCGGTTTGTTTTGTCTCATTATTGAAGATATAGTTTGGTTTTGACATAGTTACATATTCGTGAAATTAGGTTGAATTTTGGTTTCTTTTGAAATATCAACTAGTAGTAAATAGGAATGTGTGTGGACAAAGACTATGTCATCAACAACCCACGATATATGAGCATTTATTAATTTTGGACACATTATTTCTATAAATTAATTATAGACGAAAGTCACAAAACCAAAATCATCATATCTTTGTATGTTGTTTTTTGTTTTTTCATTATTGGAGATATAGTTTTTGGTTATGATTTTAGTACATAGTTTATTAGATATAATCCTTAATATAATTTATAGGTGAAACTAGGTTTGAATTTGTGTTATTTCATTGAAATGCTTTAATTTGTTGTATTAGTTTAGTAATGTTGGGAAAAACGTACACAATCATAGATTAAAGAACCAATAGTATCATGTGTTATTTGGTTGGACTATAGAGTTTGGAATATGTTGCTTCAAGTTTCTATTTGCGAGGAAAGGAACACACAAATATAAAGTGATCCAAAGAAACGAAGATGATCACTATGCTAATAATATATTAGAAGTTTAGAACCATTCTAAGAGAGGTACTGTATATTTAGAGTCACATTGCTGTGTATAACATATAACAAAACTAAATGTACAAAACCTACATACATATACGCCGAGAGGAGAACAAGGTCAAAAAGAATCGAATGGATCTAAATCTGAATTTTAGGTCTATACTGTCGGAAAAACACCCGTGGCTCGCTTTTGTATTGGAGATCCTGGTATAAAGATTTTACCCGATGTGGAAACCAGTGGACTTGAAAGAACTAGATAGCGTCGGAAGCCTTTGCAAGGCAATAACTCCAGCAGCAAAAGCAGCAACAGACGCCATTACAAACGCCGGTAAATTTCCTCCTCCAAACAATTGATCCCATGGACCCGCTCCAAGTGATACTATCATCTGTTTAAAACCAAAACCATATTCAGAAACTAATTACGGGTCAAGACTACACTGGAAGGGAGTGGCATTATTCAAGAGAATGAATTTTATCAGTGTAATTAGATTTGGGAGATTGCCTGGGGAATAACGATTGCGAGGTTCAACACTCCTATAGCCAAACCTAGAGTGAGGAAATTAAAGCATTAGGGACTCCTGAAATCTAAGAATTTAAGCAGAAAACTATGAATGTAGTGAAGATATGAATCTTTCCACAGACCTTGACCGCCACCGGAATCAGCAGTGACTTCTGCTGTGACAGAGAAAGGAACACTGTATGTGATCTGCATTAAAGAGGGAAAAAAAGATGGCTTTATCACATATTTTAGAGAAATTTTGCAAGAAGATAAGAAAAAAGATAATTATGATTGAAAGAAAACACATACAGCTAGAGGAAACCCAAGGAGTGCAAAGACGACTACAGCTGCGGTTCTTGTTGTTTCGTTTCCCTGCATTATGTATTCGACTCCATTTTTGTAATCACCAAGAGACATCAAGCTAATTACAGCTGTTCCCGCCATGCATGCAAATACAGTAAAATTGCTCAGAGCCCATACAACCCGTGCACCCATCCGCTGACACATTGGTTCAATGAGAAACGAGCTGATCCCAAGAACAACCTACAGAAAACGGGAAAAATAAAATTCAATTACGGGCGAGTAATTGTAATTTGAAGAGCAGAGCAGTTCAAAAACATGTCATTATAACGATTCTTACAGAGTTTAGTAGCAAACCAAGTGCACCTTCACGTACACCTTGATCATAGAGTTCCACATGCAAACTATCTCCTGTTGGATTCCCGTGGTAAACTTCTCTTCCCATCCAATCTGTATCGAACAAAAAGAAGGGGAACCACGATAACTGCAAGGAACAAGACCACAATCAAAATATAACAGAAGGAAATCATTTAAAGAACCTAAGAACAGGAAACAGTGTTCTGATCATAATATTTCTTTGGCACTCACCCATGTAAGAGCCATGACGATAAGAACAGAGTGCATAGCCGGTGGCAAATGCCTTAAACTAGTTAGCAAATTCACTAAAACAGATCCAGGGCCATCAACGTAGGTCTCATCTTGATGCTCGTTCTTTGAATTGCCAAGCTGTACATCCATATCACGTTCCACTCTCTCATACTTGATTCCATTGGCAGTACCATGATTCAATTTTGAGTGCTCAAGGCCTTTAGACTGGAGATCATCCAACAAAGGTGCAGAATCTGGTATGCGGGTGGGCTTGTTGCTTGTAAAAGGAATCTCTTTAGCAAAATAGATTGTGACAAGAGTACATATAGTGAGAAAGACCTGAAAAAATGATTAAGATCTTAAACCATACAGAACAATATATTCAGATTTTATACTACAAAACAAGAACAAAAGCCACTGGGTGCATTACTATGATTTAACTGTCAAAATCACCTAAAAATAATAGATTTACAAAAAGAATGCATTGATTTGCGACATATTACTCGCAAGTCACAATATATAAACATGAGTGCTTGGTAAAGACCAGACGATTCCATTTCATTTATAGAAAGCTTAGTAAGATGCATGTAGCAGAAAATTAAACATACTGCTTACCACTGCAAGAAGAAACGCTGCTTTGAGATTTCCACATGCAGCACAGCATGCTCTACTAGTTAGGAAAGGGAACCATCTGCCCAGTAAAATTGCCGGATCATTTAATAATAGCTGGCGAAAAATGCAAAATTGCAAATGAGGAAATAGAATACAAGTATTTGAGAATAAGGATCTCAAAGATTACTCTTGCCAACGTCCACTAGCACCAGCAGAAAACCCAAGGATATTCCCAATAGCCATCCACAAGCAGAACACAGCATTTGCAGTATTCCGCTGATCAGGACCTAAGGACAGCAATAGACATCTCATAAGTGCTGTTCTACAGAACCAGATGCACAGCATATTCAATGTGATTCTGTTCTGTTAAGTGTATGGTAATATTCCATTATTACCTGATAGATCAGCTAGAAGAGCACGAGCAGGTCCCTGAAAAAAGAAAAGCCGAAAACATCATTCCTGGGTATAGAGGTAATGACTAATACCATTCACTCGAGTAGATTGCAGAAAGCAGATCTGAACCTGTACTGTATTGTTCGCTAGATCCAACAACCAAAACCCAATGATAAAGACAACAGCTGCCCTGGTTCGTGTCCCTTTGAAAGTACTGCATTTACAGATGCACATCAAGTCGTCAGTTACTTTAATTTTATACATTCCTTACAAAACAAGCCATAGGCAGGGGAGCAGGAGAGTTACCTGCAATGTTCCTTTGTATCTCCTAACAGATACCCAATGTCTGCAGAAAACCCGATTATTATCACCTAGATTGCAAGCTTTTGTTTAGCTTATATAAAACACATTGTTGCCAGCTAGCTCCTAAAGGAAAATTAAAACAGAAATCATATTTTCTATAGGCCCTTACTGATATTGAGATCATGAGTGATCCAACGAGAATAAACGGTCGTCTTCTTCCATACTTTGAAGTACATTTATCACTCCAAATGCCAACAAAAGGCTGGACCTAAAACCCAACAAACAAACAAAAATATTAACAAAATGAGGCAGGAAAAATGTATGCCCACATAAGAAAGATAGTTTCTGATCATATATAAATCAAATCTTAAACTCTCGTGAGATCCTTACGTGCAAGTGAATATAACTGCTAAAATTCTAAAAGGAATGAAAATTTGATTGCAAACCTACCACAAGGCCTGTAATTGGGCCGCATAGCCAAATAAACGAAGAAAAAGCATGCGATATTCCAAGGGTCTGCATAAACAAGCCAAATGCAAAACTGTTAGATAAAACTCAGCAACGAGAAAAGAAAACACTGCGAGCAAACAAAATTCTAAGAACAGTCCTTATCTACCACCATAACTACCCACCTGATACATAAATGACCAGTACAATACAATTCATATATCTGAACACAATTCAGTTTAGTCCTGTGATCAATAAACGCTAAATCCGAGAAAAAGCTAAAAAAATTCTCTTACAATACTTACATTGTTTACAAAATCCAATGAACAGGCAATCTAGCTAAATTCCAATGTCAAATAAAGCTGCTTGATAAGCCAATGCTATAAAGTTCCATACGAAAATATTTCGTAGCTATGTTGGTAATACCTAACCTAAGTATTAGAGATCATTGTTTCACCTACAAAGTACTCGACTTTCTCGTACAAAGCTACACGAGAACAAAACCCTCGAAATCTAAATCAGCATAGTGACAGAAATGGCAACAAAGATAAGAGAGTAGTAGTAAGTACCTGAATATAAGGAGTAAGAAGAGAAAGTTGCAATGCCCAACCAAATTGAACTCCAGCAGCGACTGTACAACTAAGAACCAACGTTACTAAACTACAATTCTTCGACACAGATTCACCATCAGCCACATCAGGATGATTCAATGGAGAAGAAGAGAACGACGAAGAACCAGATTCGTCTTGATGATGCTTCGTCACCGTCTCAAGTTCAATTTCCTTCCTCAAATTCCTATACGGAACCGAGATCGACACCGAGTCACTCATCGTCCTCAACACAGATCTCTAATTCGTATCAAAATCTAATTTCTCATTCCGATTTAGGTTTCGAGGGTTTTGTTCTCGTCGATCTAGATTCGGAGACGATGATCGGAGATCTAAGCAGAGTCAAATTCTGGCGCGTGAATATTTTTGATGAAATCGATTTTGGGGTGATTGTGAAGACGCGGAAGTGAACAAGGGAGGAAGATTCGTTTTTACAGGAGCCGTTGATTTGTTGATGGACGGCTGAGATTAAAACCTACTGGTCGTATCTTACTAGTCAACGTCTTCGTCTCGGGATTAGCGTAATCACCACCGTTGGATTTGATCGGATCAAAACCGTTGCTTCAATTCAAAGGAATAGCGGACGAAACTCACCGTCACCGACACCAAACGAAAATGTGCTTTTACAAAAAAAGAAATGATGTCGTTTATGGGTTTAGAGTGGGCCTGTAGTTTTTTATAGCTCGGCCCATATTGTAAGAACATTTCAGAACTGTAGTACATTTAGCCCAAATATTAACCCTATTAGAAGAAAGCTGTTTTTTTGGTTAGCATAGCACCTAAAAGGCTAAAACCTATAAAACATGTGTCAAAGTTATATGTTTCGTAGCTATGTCCCATGTTTCTATTTCTGATGCCTTTTTTTTTTGTCAAAGATATTTCTGATTAGTGATTACATTGGTTCAAGTTTGATTTCATGAAATAAGTTTGATTCAAGTTTCTGCAAATGGTATGTGCTAACATTGCCAGTTGCGTTACCATTCAAATTCAAACTCTCACAATTGCATGTTATTTAAAGGAAAAGAAAAGGAATTCATGATTCAAAAAAAACAAATATTTATGTAAAATCATATAGGAACATACCTTCTTATTGACGTATATATGAACATGTGTTAGTAATTTAATACCAATGTCATTTTGTAGATTTTTTACAACAAATATTTTGTGGGGGTTTTAGGTGCTAGCTAGAAAAAAAAAAGTAATGTTAATATATATTATTCTTACCAATGTCACTATTACAAGTAAATGTATTTTATAATAACTAATGTAAACATGTTTGTAAAACATTGTAACATATATGTGTGTGAACGTGATAAAAGAAAGAAAGTTAGAAATAAAAAAGGAGGAAAAGGAAAAAGACGTGTGCCTAACAAATGTATCATGTATTGGTAAAAAAATGCAAAAATGATACATAATTATTATTCTTGCTTGTGGAAAATGAAAGTTATAGGGCACACAATTGAATTAATACTTACGTCTCTCTTTCTCCATCTCTTCCCTTGTCCCTCTCTTCTCCTTTCCTTCTCCACGTGTAAAAAAAAAAAAAAAGTTCAACAACAACTCCTTTTGAGTTTAGTTGTTATGGTGTGAAACTCCAATTTTTTTGGTTAGTTTAGTTGTTATAGAGCGCATGCATGTATTTGAACAAAAGTAATCGAAAACTCATAACTTTTTTTTTTATTATGGTTAATTGAAAAGTTATGCCGAGCTATTTCCATCAGAAAAATTTATTGTTATAGAAAAAAAAATCAAGGTTAATAAGTTGATTAAAAATTAATAAACAAAAATTTAAAGTTTTATGTAACTACTAATTACATTTTACAAAAAGCACGTGTTGAACGCGGCTATGACCCAACTAGAGAGAAGAAACATATGCACCATAACTTAACACGTCATCTCCTTAACGTCGAGCGCGTCGAATGCTGACGCTGAAAATAACACCTTCGTCGTTTCTCAAACGACAAATCCAAAAATTATAATAAAAAAAGAAATGCGTTATTAAAATAAATATTGTTTTCTAACTTAGTGATTGGTTGGCAATTTTGTCTTTCTCTGTCGATAGATGATAGTGTGATTTACAGATACATAAGAATGGGGCTTTCACGTATAACTATTAAAGTTGATAAAGGAAAATTAGTAATGGTCTGTCATTATTAAGAATGTAACCATCGATATTGAAAGATAGATATAGAAATATATGTGGGAAGAACGTGAAGAAATAAAAAAGAATCACGTCACGTGGAGACAGCTCTTTTACGAACTCTTATATCCACTCACTTCATTAAATCATTTAAAAAGTGGACTATTTTTTTTTTTTAAAAAAAAAAAAAAAAAAAAAATTAAAAGCAACAAGAAAAAACAACTACTTAATTGTCCCAACAAAACCAATACATCATCTTGCTTTTTTTTGGGTCCGATTTGTTCATATATTTGTATTTTTTTTTTCTAAAAAAAAATGTTAATGTTAAATCCTTTTTATTACACGATCTCTATGTTATTAATATGAAACCTTAATTCAACTTTTCCAAGCTAGGTCTATTTAATAGAAAGCATAGACTGAAAACCACATCCTATAAGAAATATCACCTTTATCGAGCCAAAGATACATCATCGTACCCTGAACGGCTAAACCTCGACTATGTGCTATCGCAAACATCAACATATCATCAAGACATATTAATAAAAAACAACACGTACGTTTTCAGGTTTATTAGTATTTTTTTAGATTGCTTTTTAAACATATATGAACCACACACAAAGAAAAAAAAACAGTACTATAGTTGTTTTTAATTTGTTCTCGACATCATGGCTTTGTTTTTGTCGAACAGCTGTTTTTTAGTTCTATATGTCATGGGATAACACGGTTTAGTGTAAGCTATAAAGAACGAAATACATTAGCAAGATAATAATGACCAGCTACGGTAAATAAATTTAGATGATTGGTTTAAAGATGGATCTTGGATTAGTCGTAAAATCACTTTAGCACCGTCCAATAATACTTCACATGGACATATAATTAAGACTTACACACATAATTCACACGTTCTTGTTCTTGATTCGATAACGATGGCCTCGTTCGATGGTCAAATTAAGCCCTTAGTGCACGATACGTAGAATCTTTCGGCGCGAATTCGGACCTTAAAGTTTAATTTTATTTTGACGAATGAGTTTCCATAAATTATAAATTATATATTCTGACGTTAATTAGATATTCAAGTTATTCAACTTAGATTGATGGAGCCATTATATACAGTAAAACCTCTATAAATTAATACTCTATAAATTAATAACTCTCTAAATTAATAAATTTTTCCGGTCCCGAGTTGGGACCAGTGTAAATTATGACATAAATCGATAAATTAATAAGATAATATTTTTTTTGGAAATCCCATGTAAACATATGGTCTCATCTATAGTATAAATTAATAATTGTATAAACTTATCAATATATATATGTATATTTAACTTAATATATATATATATATGATATAAATTTATATATTTCATATATGAATTACTATGATATATATTTAAAATATTATATGTAAAAAAATTTAATGAAATATGACTCCATTTTTCTAAAAAAGTTTGTGTTGTTTTTTAAACTTAATAATTGCTTCTCTACTTGCAATTGGTTTTTAAAAGATATTGCTTATAAAGAAAAAAATAATTTTTAGATAGAAATTTTGTAAAAAATTATAATTTTAGTAAAATCTCTCTATAAATTAATAATTTATAGAGGTTTTACTGTAGTAAAAATATATCATAAATTGATATACTCGTATAGTATATTATAGGTATTTTTAAAAATAAAATAAAATATTATAGGTATTTTATATATCATTAGCAGCTAGCGACATTATCAAATATAATCATGTCCGTCATTTATCGTTTTGAAGAAGAACACTGACGTGCAAATGCTTGATTAAATAAAAACTTATGAATTTGAGAGCATTGTAAAGTTATATTTAATCAAATATTTCTATAGGTTAAGGTTTCATTTGCTTCTGCAATTATTAAAAAAAGAAAAGAGAGATACGTTCGTTTGAAACTTTTGTTTGCTTTCCCTACTAATTTTTTTGAGAGATATATTTGGTTTTGTTTCAAAGCAAACGATTGTGCTTTGACTTTCATGAAAAACAAAAGAAAAAAAAATGAAAGAAAGAAGAAGAAGAAGATGGTGTTCGTCTCTATCCATCAAAAACGTGACCTCAATAGCACGTGATTGTGCTTTCTTTCCAATCTTCATATGATTTTGGCTTAACTACGAAAAAGATGGAAGCCACGAAGATGACTTTAAAGGATACGATGGTGAATTCAAAACCGACTATGACTACACAAGTTTTTTTATGAACAAGAAGTTCGAAAAACGACCAAAACCATGATTTAAATCGATGGAGATATACAAAAACGATGATGTATTTTTTATACGGTTCTCCCAATATCTTTAACACTTACTAGTGTATGATTAGGATCATATATAGCAAAAAAATTACTCACTAAACAAGTTTGTGCGGAGGACGGATGGAGAAAATAAATCACATCTTCTTTCGTTGTCCATATACTAAACAAGTTTGGGAGAAATTCACCAAAAGTTTACTAAAAAATCACTACACTTCGGACTAGGTATAATTACGAACACTCATCTCAGGTACGACGTTTGATCAACAACCCCTATTTTTCTTGAGATATGCTCTTTAACTCACAATTCATTCGTTTGGAGAGAAAGGAACAACCGTAGACATGGCGAGACTCTTCACCAGCCACTCATCTTCAAAAATTCATCGATAAAACAATTAGAAACCGCCTAAGCATCCTTCGAAATTTGAGGAATGGAAAGTATGAGAACCTCCTCATATTATGGTTTTCTTCTTGAATCTAAAGTATCAATAAAAAAACACTTCATTTTTTTTTGTTAAGTCGTATTTGTTGTAAAAAAAGTTTTTTTTATGAATAAAATTTAACTTTCATTCAAAGAAATTTTTTTTGTTAACCTTATATTGGATGCCTTGAATTGGACAAATTTATTTGTGTCACTGGTGAATAAATGTCGCAAAGGAAAATTGACATGATCATATGATCAGCAGTTGTACACAAATAATTTTAAAAATGCTATTAACCAGTAATGTACATGTTGAAATAGTTTTTAAAAAAAAAAGAAAAAAGAAATAGTAATAATAGAAAGAGTTAACTTGTAAAAACATCATAATAGTTACATGATAATGTATAGACAGCCTCACGTGCCTATGTATTAATCGATCGTCAAAACAAACGTAATTGTTATTTAATTTCTTGGTACTGGATTTGGTCTAAATAAAAGTGTCTCATCAATTTGAATTGCCTACATAGTCAGTGAAAAAAAGAACATTATCATGAAATATAATAAAAATATATAGAACATATAAGTCACATAGAATAGTAAAGTCTTTGAACTAAAAAAAGTCGGTAATCTGCTAAACACATAATTAACGACTACATTACTAAACAAAATTTCTAATCACAAGTTCACAACCCTAACATTACCGCGCAATATTTTATTGAGATAATTGGGTGAGAAGTATAGAATCCAGACCTAATTAAATTTTCGACATTATGCTCGTCGGTCCAAGACAAAGAAAATTTCAGCCCATGTTTCTGCCGCTTATACCCTCACGCGCGATAGCCAAGCAGCCCATTTTATAATTCGATACATTGAACAAGAGAAAAAGATTTCTCTTTATTAAGTCCTCTCGAGATACTAAAACGTCCATGTAGCAGTTGACGTTTGAGGTTTCTTTTTTCCATTTTTCTCATCCCGCCTTTCTCTCTCTCTGAAAACCCTAAGCCCTCTCGGCTTCTTCCTCTCTGACACCGGAGTTTGCTCTGGCCAGATTGATAATCTGTACCAAGACATTTCACAAGTTCGCTGGTTACCCGAAGCGAGACTAGATCACAGTCGGTAAGCCAGAGAGGACCCGATTCCAGCAAAATAATTATTTCCATTCCGCCATTAAGATTTCGATTCCTTTTTTCCTAAGCATTAATCTTCACTTTTTTTGATACTAATCCTCAGATCTGTTTGTATCTTCACATAACTCGCTTAGATCCACTAATAGACACCCATATTTTTAAATAAAGCTCTACAACATGTTCTGCATGTCATCGTCATCCTTTGTAGATCTATATTTTAAACCTAATTAGCACTTACATGTTGCAGGAGAATGGCAGATAGTGACCTTCCTTAGATTCGTCCTCAAATTTCCTTATACACATCCTTAGATCTGCATGTATCTTCACCTCTTTGACGTAGATCCACTGTTAGACATCCATAATTTTATTTGGAGCTTCATACATAAATTGCATGTCATCATCTTCCGTTTATTGATCTATATTTCTAATAATTTGGCTCCTCTGTTTTGCAGGAAAATGGCAGATATTGATCTTCCTTCTAGGCTTTTTGCAGACAGAGAAGAACCTGCCGGTGATCGGGTTAACATGTACTTTAAGCTTAATACCATCAAAGCCGTTCTAAAGGCCCTGACCCCCAAGGAGATCGAAACCATTCGACCTTGCTTTGGGAAAATCTTGGATCTTTACTCAAAGCCGGTGTTCTCCGGGAAGTTGGCCCACTTTCTATTAACCCGCCAGTTGAGTGTGGTCAAACGCCATGAAATATGGTTTGTATTCGCCGGAAAACCGATCAGATTCTCGTTACGGGAATTTGGTCTAGTTACTGGTCTTAACTGCAACCCTCTTCCCCCTCTCGAAAGGTCTCTGATTAGGCCACCTCCCGGTGTGACGCCTTACTGGTTTACCCTTTTCGGTGGGGAAAATTATTTCACCGGCGAGATGTTGTTGTCGAAGCTGCAGAAATCTAAGGCTTTAACCAGCGAATTGCGGGTTAAGTATGCATGCTTGTTGCTGGTAGATGGATTTCTTGGTCGGCGCTCGTTCCACATGATGATTCCGAGGGAGCATGTTGAGATGATTCGGGATTTGGATGTGTTTTTGAAATATCCCTGGGGTCGGTACAGTTTTGATATGACGATGCAATGCATTAAGTCTAGATCTTTACTTCAATTGGCTCAGGCCACTGTTGCCATCCAAGGTTTTATACACGCTTTGGTCCTTGTATTTGTGGAGGCTATTCCGGCCGTTCTTTCAGTAGGTTGTGATAGAACCGAACCGGAATCCGACGATGAAGAAATGTTCCATGTAATTTCTTTGAAATTAGATAAAGTGTGGGAATTGGATGGAGAAGATCAGGTATATTAGACCTCTACGTGTTTATATAAATATCCATTCAGTTTTGTCATGCGTCATTTGTTTAGATATACAGTTACATCCATTTTTAACGTCTATTAACTACTGTTATAGGTCGATGTTCTGTCTATCATACCTTCGGCTGATGTTGTCACCGGGGTGGAAGATTGCGGTTGGGTTGATGAGGTAAGTGACCCCAGTGTTCACGTATTGTTAAAGCGCCTTGAAGAAGGTGTCAAGTCCAGCCGTCAGATGTTTGTTGGTGGTATTAGAGGTTGGGGTCAATGATTCGAGGGACAACTCTCCGCTGCACCCGTTGTCTTTCATTAGAAACCCAACGAGGGTTGTGTATTTTATTACAATCTACCTATGTTTTCTTTTGAATTATTCCTCTATCCTCCTTCTTTATTTTGAACCATTGTTCTACCAGTCTTTCATCTTCTGAACTAGTAGTATCTGTATTTTTGTTTCAATCTGTTGGTTATACCTTCTTACCTTTTATGGCTCTACGTTTTAACTTTTCCCACGATATACATGTTCATTCATTAGCTATAGATAGCTACATTTATAAATACATGTATATCTAGTTATGTACAACTACATATTCAATGAGTTTTACTCCGGTTGTTAAATATGTAGACGTCTATATTAAAAGGTGTATGTCTAAGCAGCTCTTATGTTGGACATGCGCATGTGGGGTGCGTAAGGATCAGGTATTTGACAAGCATTTAATATGTGTCAGTTCAATTGTACTTTGTGTCAGAAGCCAAACCCACGCGCATACGTTTTATGATTCCTGGTTATTTTGTAAATAACTTCTAAAGGAGACCCTTTTATAGCTTTTGATAATACCTCCTCGCCGACAACTTCTGATAATACCTCTGCACTAATTTGTGTTCCCATTTTTACCTCTGCACAAATTCACTCTATTTTATTATCAAAAAGGGTATTATTGTGCTATATATTTTTATAACTATGTAATTCCACTTGTTACTAGTAAACTTGCAAACACTGATTCGTGAAAGAACAACAAGTACTTGGTTTGGTTATAATCACTGACATTTTCTATGTATAATCATTTATTATGATTCTCATATATAAAGCATTTGCCTATTTTTTTAAATATTGTACTTTCATAATAGTATAATACTATAGAAGATGTTGGAAAAAAAAAAACGAAAAAAAAAGATAAAGAATATGAAAATTCAATGACGTGGGATTTGTAAACAGCTTTTTTTTTTCTGTAAGTAATTAAATTCCTTTTGACCACTGAAATTTAACAGCTGAAGTACTCTGAAACATCTGCATTCAACGCTGAAAAGTAGATTGTTTCTTTTTCCTGATTTCCTCACGCTCAAAAATATATACATTTCCACAAAATATCAATTATCCAGAATAAAAATATTCTTATCAATAGCAAAAACTGTAAGAATATATTTTTTTTAATAGAAAATTGGACCAAAAAAAACATCACTAAAGGAGATTAAGCCTTTCTACTAACTAAAAGTCTAAAACAAACTTAAAATAATACATGTATTTAAAGGTGGCCAATCGTTTAGGTCTCCAGATTTTTTTTTAATTTAGAAGATATTAAATGTGAATTAAAAACCAAATCTAACTCTCTTTTTGGTTTTCTTACAAATAAAATAAAAAAGCTCTCTTTTTGACAGCTAATCAAAGCAAATCTAATTTATGGAAGAAAAAAAACCCAAAATTAATATATTTGCGTTAGTTGAGATTGTTTTGGTACTCTAATTAGTATTTACTCTCAAATTTTAACTTTTTTTTTTAACTTTCAATTTTATAATTCGTGATAAAAAAGGAAGTAAATAAATATTATTACTTAGTCAAATTATTTTCCGTTTTAAATTTTTATTTGACTGCATTAAAATTTGCATATTAAAATTAAAAAGTTTAACAAAAGAGGAATAAACAACAATAGAGAGAGAGAGAGAAAAAAAAAGAATTGTTCCTCCCAAAGATTTTAACTTTGAGCTCTCTCTGAGAAACCAAAGCTTCACTCTGATTCGCAGAGCGAATCAAAAGAGACGACACAGAGAAGAAGAAGAAACGCGAAGAACAGAAACAGCTCTCTTAAGCTTTTCTTAATTATTATTATTAATTATTATAATTCTCTCTTCTTAATCCCTAAATCTCTCGTAAGTCCTCTCTTCTCCAATCTCTGAATTCGTATTATAATAATAATCTGTTAATTATCAACCAATCCTTAAAGAATCAATTTTTAATTTCTCTTCAAGCAGATGGAATCATGAACCAGATCGGGATCGAAAGATGATTTTGAGTTTCCGGGTTTGATTCTTTTTTCCCCTTTTTGTGAAATTGGGTTGGAATCTGGAGATCTGGATCTTGAAAAGGTTGAAACTTTACGTGTGTTTGGTGGTGTTGATTTTGTTCTTGATGAACTGATTTTGAGTAGGTGATTGGTTGAATCTAGAATCTGAATCCATTTGGGTTTGGGATTGGGATTGGGATTGATCTGATTTGATAACATCAAGAAATTTGTAGTCTTTGGAAGAAATGTTGGAAGATCGATCACCAGATTCGTGTTTGATTACAAGGGTTTTCTCAAGCTCTCGTCTTTCTGAATCAAACTGGTCTAAGTCTTACATGTATCCAGAGGATGATGATAAGCTCGGGAATGGTAAAAGACCTTTGGAGGTTGTTGGTGAGATTAGACAGACCAAATCACTTAAATTAATGGGTTTTTCTATTACTTATGATAGCGATTCTTCTGACTATTCATTGAGTGGTGGGGAGGAGCAAGCAGATGCTGTGATTGGTGATGGCTCATTGTCGAGACAGGAGCAAGAACAATCTGATTCTAATGATAATGGTGGTGATTCTTCGGATTCGCATTCTCTTATCAATGAGATTGGGAGGGACAATTCGATTGACTGTTTGATCCGCTGCTCGAGGTCTGATTACGGTTCAATTGCTTCTTTGAGTCGGAATTTCCGTTCTTTGGTAAAGAGTGGAGAGATTTATAGATTAAGGCGACAAAGCGGGTTTGTTGAACATTGGGTTTACTTCTCTTGCCAGCTGTTGGAATGGGTTGCTTTCGATCCTGTCGAGAGAAGGTGGATGCAGTTGCCAACTATGCCTTCCAGTGTTACCTTCATGTGTGCCGATAAGGAGTCTCTGGCCGTTGGGACGGACCTTCTTGTCTTAGGGAAAGATGATTTTTCTTCTCATGTAATATACAGATACAGTCTACTGACTAATTCTTGGTCTTCTGGTATGAAGATGAACTCTCCGAGGTGTTTGTTTGGATCCGCGAGCCTTGGAGAGATTGCTATATTCGCTGGTGGATGTGATTCCCAGGGAAAGATTCTTGATTTTGCGGAAATGTATAATTCTGAGCTTCAAACTTGGATAACTCTTCCAAGGATGAACAAACCGAGGAAGATGTGTTCGGGTGTTTTTATGGATGGGAAGTTTTATGTAATTGGAGGAATTGGTGGTGCTGATTCTAAAGTCTTGACCTGCGGTGAAGAATATGATTTGGAGACCAAGAAATGGACTCAAGTCCCTGACTTGTCGCCTCCAAGAAGCCGTGCTGATCAAGCTGATATGTCACCAGCAGCAGAAGCACCGCCTCTTGTTGCGGTTGTGAATAACCAATTGTACGCTGCTGATCACGCGGATATGGAAGTGAGGAAGTATGATAAGGAGAATAAGAAATGGTTAACTGTTGGAAGATTGCCTGAAAGAGCTGGCTCGGTTAATGGATGGGGGCTTGCTTTTAGAGCTTGCGGGGAGCGGTTAATCGTTATTGGTGGACCGAAGTACTCGGGAGGTGGGTTCATAGAGCTGAATTCTTGGATACCGAGCGACGGTGGTCCACCGCAGTGGACATTGCTTGACAGGAAACATTCTCCTAATTTCGTATACAATTGCGCAGTAATGGGTTGCTAAAAGAACACACATTCATAATACTACTATCCATTTGAAGACCCTCCAGATTCTTGTTGATGGGTTTTCGCTCACACGTCAAAAGACACCATTGAAGGTCCCAAGCTCCAACCTTTATGCTTCTTCTTCCTTATTTGTTTCCCTTACAAAATTTTCAATTTGAATACAATCATCTCTGTATTGTTAGAAACCAGACAAAGTCCCCAGGAGATTCCACAAAAAAAGAAAAAACAAAAAAAAACTGAAACAGGTTTATTATAATAAGTTCGTTAAAAGTTGAAGCTTTTTAGAGTTTGCCAGATCTGGTTAACATTGTTGTATGTGTTTTAATCAAATTTGTTTTCTAATAATCTGCTTTTGTTCTAAAAATTTTATGTTTGTAGCCCATTTTTTGGTCTTTGTTCATAGTTTTGCTTTTGAGTTTTATTGTTTTTCTATTTTGGTTTTGCTTTACCTTTCTTTAATTTTACAGGTCGAATCGTTAGATTCACTTTACAACGTTGGTTTGAAGTGTTTGTCATTTTTATGACGACAAAAAAAAAGTGTCACTTTTGTTTTTTTGTTGGGGTAAGGAGGGGCAAATGTTATGTCTTTATAGATGTGTCCTTTAAGATATCTCAATCTGTTGCTTGCAAGTTATACAATTTTTGTTATGAATGTTTTTGGACTCCTTCGTTTAGTTCCTTTAGCTTTTAGGCTCTTTAGATTTTCGTAATTTTTGTGTCGAAAACAAATTCCAACCCAAGCTAGTATTTATCAATCGAAACAATTCGAAGACTGTAAACCAAAATGATTTTTCCAATAGAGTTGTTCAAATTTTGAATATATATATACATAATGTATTATAACAAAATATCTAGATTTTTTTTTATCGTCTACAACTCACACATACACACTACTCAAGATAAATCGAAATTAGGACACAACGACGTCACTAACATAAGTTCTGTTCAAACTTTATGTAAAATCTCATAGACAAATATAAATACTAAAAATCATAAATAGACATTCAAATATAAGATCTTTATAGGAATATCAAAATTTTGCACAATAACAATACTAGTTAAGACTCCTCTTTCTTCAACATATCACACACTCAATTCGAAATTCTGCGAAAACATGTGTTGTTAAAAGAAAAGCCCAACTATAAATTTGGGCCTAATAATATTAAGGCCCATATATTCTTAAATCTCGCAGGGTTTTAAGTTTCTGATTTTACTCAGCAAAACACCATTTTATCGCTCTGTAGAAAAGCTTCCATTTTTTCGTACACCACTCTCACTGAGAAGATGAATTCTCTTCATCGTGTAATAGGATTGATCACCAGAACAACCCCAAATCCAATTTCTTCAAGAATTTCGTATACCCATTTGAATCTCCCATCGATTCTCGTCAATTTGATGTCCACAAAATCTGGAAACGATGAAGAAAAATGGAACGACGCTTGGGAATCAGCTTGGTTACCAGATGATCTCACAGATAAAATCCGAGCTCCATGGGAAACAGATGTGAACTTCCCTGTAAAAGAATCCACGGCCACGATTGAAGAAATCGATGTGGAAGCAAAAGCGTTCGTTGAAGATATGAATGAGCATTGGAACGAGAGGAGAGGGAAGAGTGGGAAAGTGGAGAAGAGAGAAGAGAAGAAGAAGAAAGAGATTGGAGATGGAGAAGAATCATCATCATCGCTTTATAGTTTGGAGACGATGAAGAAAGATTATAGATTGAAGAAACAAAGAGTTCATGCTTCTTTGTGGGTTAAAGAGATTGAGAAATTGGAAGAAGCTAAATTGGGTGATTCTGGATCTGGTGGTGGAGCTGATGATATTGATAGACTTCTTGATAGTTGTTCAGAGTAAGGATTCTGTTTTTGCCCTAATTTCAATTTCGATTAGGGTTTTGTTGGATTAGTCTTGTGTTATATTTCACTTCAGTAGGTTTGTGGTTTAGCTAATCCTTGAAATGGTTCTATGACTTGTTTGAGATTGAACATATATAGAGATTGCTCTAAGGATGATTTTTGGTGATTTTGATTGAAGCTTTCACTTACATGCTTATGTTTGAAGATCTAAGGTTAACGTTTTAGATAAATACATGAACAAGATTTGTGATTTTCTTGTGTACAATCTCTCAAGCATGTTCATTTTAGTGTATTGAGTTTCACATTAAATGAACATGCTTGAGAGATTGCTATGGGGAATTCTGGTGATTTTGATGTAAGTGAAAGACCTGTGATTTACGTTTTAGCTAAGCCCTGAAGAAGTTTGTGATTTTCTTGTGTGCAATCTCTCAAGCATGTTCATTTAGTGCATTGAGTTGCACGATATATGTTAGAGAGATTGCTATTGGGTTTCAATTGTCTTCAAGTTCTTTGTTATGTTCATGTTTGAAGATCGGTGTGCTTGTTGGTGGTTTTGATCTTTTGATGGTTGAAACATTCAGGATTTTCGACTCGGTAGACCATGATTTCGACAAATTGGAGGTTTCGAGTGGATCTGAACTGAAGAACAAGCCTGATGGTTGGGAATCAACAGCAAAGGAACAAGATGGAAATCTCTGGGAGATGTCGCAAAGAGAAGAAGACATTCTTCTCCAAGAATTTGATCGCCGGACTGCCTTCTGCAAATTTCAGGTACCACCCAAATCTTCATACAAATGATCCCATTGGTCTATACATCAAAAATCTGTTTTCATGTAAGTTTGATATCTTGCAATAGAACCATTCCAAACGTGGGACTTTCTAGATTTCTTCAGCATGTTTTTGAAATTTGATCGATGCGCAGATAGCGAGTTTTATAAAGCAACACATATTCAGTAGGAGAAGACCGATTGATGGGTGGAGATACATGATCGAAGTGATTGGTCCAAATGCGAGGAAAGGGAAAGGAAGTGTTTCTAGGCTCCCGGCTTTATCGGATGTGTCGACTCAGCCCTTCAAAGAAGAAACTGGCAGCCTCACTACTTCGAAGCGCCCGTAGAAGACCTAAAGTAGTGAAAATCATTTCAAATCGTGTCACAGTGATTGTTAGATTGTTAAAATGATCATCAAGTACTTACACTTTTTAAGGCCATATCGATTCTTTTTTTTTCCTATATAAATACAAGATTCACCATCTAAGACAAGACTATTGTTACAGATAACCAAATCTGTAAAATTTAAGAACATGTCCTCTACAGTTCTACCATCCCGGGTTTATATTAGCATCAGTCTTCTTTTTTTTTTTGTTCAAAATATTAGCAGCTGTCTTCATGTTCTTAAACTATGCAATTTATTGTTAGCTTAGTTTTGAAAAGTTGAAACAATGGGTCTTGTATTAGATGTTGACAAAGAACAGAGGACAAATCTCATCCAGAAGAAACGATTTTGAAAATTAAAGCACATATACTCGGATTAAAGACATAGAACTAACAGAAACAACAAAACCATGTTCTCGAATAATACATGTATAAAACTAGTTAAAGAGAGAAACAGTAAAATAGATAAGAGCACAAAATGACAACACTACAAGTTTTATTCTGAATCTGATGATTCATAATATTCTGGCTGCACCAAAGGAGGATGGACTGACTTGAGTTGCTTTAAATCGTTAGCATCAAGATCCTCTACGTGGTTTACAAAGGTGCAAACACTACAAGTTTTATTAAACACTTCGCCAAAACCTTGGATTTCAACACGTTGGAGAGTGTTCCTTTCGGGATTGAAGTAGAAAACATAAAACGGTTGTTTAGATGTATACTTGCGCATGGAAAACACTATTTCACCCGAACCAGTCGCTCCAGCGATGGAAAGGTGACGACGGAAGAACTTATCATCGGTCCAAGTGTGGGCATATTTAGACCATTTCTGTTTCTCAACATCCTCTAGAACCCACACACGCAACTCATTAGTGGCATCAACGTCAAGATTTTCGTCCAAATAATCATCGAGATCCTCCCCATAATAACAAAGCTCATAAATGTCGACATCATCCTCCCAATAAATCACAGCTAATTTGCCCTTGTAGTTGATCAATCGACAAAACCTTTCTACGTCAATAAAGGTGAATTTTTCGGACCTAACATCAAAGCAAACTATCACATAATCAAACGATAGTTCAACTCTCTCAGCTAAGAAATACAAAACCCCATTGATGCATATCCCATGACTCTTAATACCAGGTCGTGGTATGGGACATTTGATCTTTCTCCACGTGAGATCTCCATCTCCAAATGTAAGAATTTTATTACGACCAGGACCAGATGGATAAGCAATGGACAAGGCCTTGTATTGCTTGTCAATGGGGTCAAACCCGAAAAAGCTATACGCCTTTCTGTAAGTATAACGATAAGGTAAGATCGCATATCGTCCTGTGTTGGGGTTACATATCAGAGGTCTAGCTTGGTATCGATTACCATAGATATAGATCAAACCAAAAGCGTAGCCAATCGAAAAATATTTTATGTCACCATAATAATTGATCAGTAGATTGTCTGGAGAGAACTTCACATGAAACTCAGCGGCTGCTACAAGAGTGCACGACGATTTCTCATATGGATTCTCAAGCTGAGGCGATGAGAAGAAGCTCCAAACTCCATTGGATTCTCCCCTATAGTCGCCGTTTTCTGCGATGGCGAATAAGAGACGCGGCTTAGCGGAGGACCTGGTCTGGAACAACTCCTTGAAGTATGGACTAGCAAACATTGACGCCCATCGCTTCGACACGCAACGAAACCTAGCCACTGACTTTGAAGGCAATCTCGACAATATCTCCATGATGAGATCAGTCGTTATGGAAGATGATGAATTCATGATTGCGGCTCGAACCAAGAAAGAGAGACCTAGCTACGGTCATGTATTTATTTTCCGATTTTTGTCGGTTAAGAAAAACAAAAATGGGCTAATTTTTAACGTCCAAGTGGGCCACTAGCTATTGGATTGAGATTTTGGAAGAAGCTAAATTGGATCTAGGCTTGATGAAATGGTTCCATAATTTGTTTGAGATTGAACATATATATATAGAGATTGCTCTGAGGATGATTTTTGGTGATTTGATTGAAGCTTTTTACTGAACAAGTTTATTTTGAGGATCTGTTTTTAAGGTAGATTGTAGTATGTTCATTTAGTGTGTTGAGTTTTGAGAGATTAAAGCTTTCACTTACATGATAAATGTTTTTGCTAAGTACATGAACAAGATTTGTGATT